GAAATTCTGTAAGTGATATGCAGATCACAAAAAAAAATCACATATAACCAATCAATATATGACATTAATTAATTTTGATTTTCTTAGAATGTCACACACCCCAATAACTTACAAATTCTGAGTTTTGATGATTTTCCCAAAATTGGCCACGAGGCGCAGCAAGTTGCGGGACCAGGTGACTTGCACCATATATAGTATCACAATGATTTCCTTGAAATTTATTGGCTAAAATTTGCGCATGTGATAAATTTTAAAAACTTAAAATTTGCCATACCCCTTTGTATCACTTGATGGTTTTTGCTGTAGTTTTTGTTTAGAAAAATTTATAGAAACATAGTAATAACAACATAGAAAATCAATCAACATAGAAAATCAATCAGCATAGATAATTTCATATACAAAATATTAACCCAAAACCTTCTAAATGGAAACTACCTCTATAGCTTTCTCTAAATTTTTATTAAATAAAAAATTTTTTTTTGGATTTCCATGTTTTTCTATTGTTTTGCATAAATTTTAGTGTGATATAAATTTTGTATGTTACATAACAATTTAACAAACACAGTCAATCATTTCTTTTAATTAGTAAGTGTGTCCCAAAATTTTATATTAAATTCCCTGGTTGATAAATGATCTGCAAATTAAAGAAAGGGTTGAACCAGCTAAATTTCCAACACTGTTTTAGGAGAGTTATTTGACTTTGTGGCATATCTATACAAAATTTTAGTTTAGAAATAATCTAATTGTCATAAAAATCATCAATATTAATAATCAACAATATTTTTTTGAATATAAATAGGAATAGCATAAAAAATATATTTGAACTTTGTAAATAGGTAAATTATTTAAATAAAAAATACAAGAATACTGATATCAATCTTTCTTATACTAATAATATTAACTTTTCTTTTCTAGACGTTGTTTTAATTCTTTAATCATTTCACTGCGTCTAATTGGAACACCACCTCCAACACCTTGTTCTTTTGATCTCATATCTTTAATCTTAACTTCACCATTATTTATTTCATCAGGTCCAATAATCACTGCAAATGGAATTTGATCACGATCACATATTGTAAATTGAGACTGTAATTTTGGCTTATTCTTATACATATATTCTGCCTATTAATTATTTATTAATCATTTCATTAATTATTTTTATTTAAAGGTAGTATACATGATGATGATAATGATAATGATGATTTTACCTTGATACCAGCATCCCATAACTCTATGCATATTTTCATCCTTTCCTCCAATAATCCACCAGTTGCTGCAATCACATACACCTCAACTTCATTTGCTTTAACTTGATCAAGTTGAATTTTTTGTAATAGTATTGAAAAAATTCTTTCTACTCCAAGAGACATGCCTACACATGGAATATTTCCTTTTTTATTGCTGGAAAACATACCAACAAGGTTGTCATACCTACCACCTGCTGCAATTGATCCAACTCCAATAGTTGATTCATCAAGTTCTTCAGAACCTTTTTTAGTTTTACATGCAACTATTGTATCATCCTTCAATCCTAAATAAATAATTATAATTGTTGTAATAAATAAATTTGAAAGATTTTTTTTAAAAAAAAAAGATTACATCTATTCATATCTTACGAGGAGGTCCTGATTGTTCTGTAATAGCTTCATAAATAATGCCAGTATAATAATCCAAACCTCTAGCAAGACTAAGATCAAATGAAACCTTTAGAGAATAAAACAGAATTAGTAATTAATTAAAAATAAAAAAATACTTGAATTGATTAAGGAAAAAATAGTAACCCTGTCTAAAACATTAAATATTTCTAAATATTTAAAAAGTAAAATCATATCATCTAACCCAGATTTTGTATTTTTATTTGAAATCAATACTTCATCCTTTAATAAACTATCCAGTAATTCCCTACCACCTATAAATCATATCTTTAATATTTTATAAAGAATAAAAAAATTTTTTCATTAAATTTTAAAATACCTTTAAGTCTAACATATTCTCCTATTTTATCAGCAACAATTGGATCTAAGGCTTTCTCTTCAACCATTTCTTTTTTGACTTCTTCCCATGGTAACTGATTGATTGATTCAATTAATTTGTTAATTATTTGATTTGTTTACCTTCCAATAAAGATTTATTTTATTTACCTTGTCTAACTTATCAACTGCAGATGAAATAGGTCTGATTTTTGATTCTTCTACACCACAGATTTGAAATATTCCATCCAAAATCTTACGGTGATTAATCTTTCAAAATTGTAAAAGTTAAATTAACTAATAATAATAAATGAATAATCAACACATTATATATTTCTTAAAAAATTTTTTTTTACCTTGACTTTATATTCACCAATTTCCAAAGCTGTTAAACATTCACACATAATTTTTATAACTTCTGAATCAGCTATCATTGGGTCAAAACTTCCTGCCACATCAAAATCCTAAATTTTTATTATATATTATAATAAATACCAAAAATTTTATAATAATAACATAAGATTAACATAAAAAGATTACATCATACACATTGATAAAATTCACGCATACGACCTTTGGTCATAGCAGGCTGGTCTCTACGATAAACTTTAGCAATTTGATATCTTTTAAAATTTTGATATTGTGACCCATTAATTGCCAAAAAACGAGCAAAGGGCACCTAAAATGTAGAAGAAAAAATTATTATTAAAACAAAAAAAATAGAATAAAGTAATTTTTAAAATAAATATTGTCATACAAACTTACAGTTAGATCATAACGTAATGAACAAAGTTCTCCACCTTGATCTTCTAAGTCAAATATCAATTTACTATCTTCACCATATTTACCAGATAAAATTTCTTTTAACTCAAAAACTGGAGTATCAATTGTAACCGCACCATGTTTTTTAAAAGTTGAAATAATAGTTGAAAAGATTTTATCTCTAATTGACATTTCTTTTTCATTATAATCTCTTGTACCCTAATAATTAAAATTTAGAAAAATATAAAAAAGTTTCTAGTGGCTTTTATAATCTATTATTAATTTATTTACCTTTGGTGTTTTAAGTGTAAAAGCATGTTTATTTTTATTTTTAGAAGTCTCTCCAGCTAAAGAAGATAATTGATTTTTTAAATCAGACAAAACTTCCAATTCTGTATCTATTAAAGTTTTATCAACATCTTGAGTTTTTAATAATCGGATTTTTTCACCCTGCTCTTTAATTTTAAATTTTAATGTTTCTTGCGTTTCATTCATTTCTTTAAGATAATTATTATGTATATTATGTATAAATTGATAACTTGCTTTTGTATGTTGATAATTATGACTAGTACTATTTACCGTCATCTCTAATCTTAACACTAAATAACGACCCCTGTAGATCTCCCGCGGATGACTTGTAGATCGAATAATTTGCAGAACATTTTTTGTGATCACGCATGAAAACATTTTTTCAAATTTTGACCTTGAAAAGTTATTGTTATTATAAATGTTTTTACGATTTGCCAACAAATTTCGTAGGCATTCATTCCGAAATTAGGGTATCGTGTAACTCCTACAAATTAAAAATAATCCTCGCGATTTTCTGATATATTAAAAAATTTGACTTCAAAAAAGGTCAAAAAAATTTTTTTAAAATATTTTTAGCAATTGTTACTTATAACACAATAGATGTTTATACAGTCACTTTTGCAAGAACACCTCTTGGTGGTTTTAATGGACCATTAGCTTCTTTTACAACAATAAAACTTGGCTACATTGTTGTGGTGGATCGCGGCTAATTTACATAATAAATATAATAATTACATTTTGTCATACAAGGAAATCGAGCCTCCTGTTCAGTGTATAAATTTCGGTGTGTAACTAGTACAAATTTAGAAGCTATTTTACAAATTTAGAAACTATCTGCAGGAAATTACTAATGTATGACGTTACACCCGGGCATTGCGGGCATTGAATTTATACACTGGTTGGGACACAATCAGTGAGTAAAATTGAGAGGGCGGAACGGGCGGGTATCACGTTACACATTAGTAATTTTCTGCAGATGATTTGTAAATTTGTAGAAATCTGCATTAGTTACACGACGAAATTTACACACTGGACACAATAAGATAATAATAAGGTTTGAAAAAAGGGTCCAAAAAACCAAATCGGCTGAAGATTTTTTTGCTGATCATTTTCAATTTTTTCAAATAGTAAAATGCATAAAATTCAAACCCTGATAACTTTTGAAGGAAATAATTTATAAGCTTCAAATCAAAGATACATATTGTTGAGCTATCGTTAAACAAGAATATGGAGCCCTTTTTTTATTTTTTTTTAGTAACAATTAGGTTTTTGTTCTTGGTTTTTGCCTTAGTTAATACGAAAATAAAAAAAAGTTCTCCATACTCTTGTTTAATGATGACTCAATAACATATATCTTTAATTTGAAGTTTATAATTGTTTCCTTCAAGTTATCAGGGTTTTAAATTTTATACTCTACTAAAATTTTGGGGAAAATGATCAGCAAAAAAACCTCAATAATGAAAATCATATGTTTGTAACACAATATTGAACCCAAAAGAATATGGTAATGCAAAAAAGAAAAATACATATAAAAACTCTCTAATTCAATTAATATACCTAAAATTATAATTATCTTTTGTAAAAAGAAATATGGATTCAATTAACAACGAATTTTATGTAACACGAAGATCTTCTATTAATATTAAGATGTACAGTATAAATTCGCGTTTCAACGGATTTTAAATGAAAATTTCTTATATTAATATGTCCAGCCACTCCGTTGAAACGAGAGTTATACTGTAAATGTGATAATAATAATTGCAAATGTCGACCAAAATAGAAATTTCCATTATAGCATTATGCTTAAATTTCATATACAAACACCCCCCAAAAGAATTTTTAATTAAAATTTTTCTACACTGAGAGACAAAAAATGATGACTATAATATATTTTTATGTTGAAGTGTTACGGCATTGAAACTTTTTTGGGGTATCAACTTGTTTGTTACAAATAATGATTGATCGTCGAATAAGAATTCATTGAAATTGATTTACACATTAAAATTAACATTTTTAAAAAACAGATATGCTGCTGAATGACATCTATAAAGCTCCAATTAAATAATTTTATCGTAGAAATTGTTGATGGAACTCAATATCAAAACCAGAGTTAATAAAGTTATTATTATCTACTAAATTAGAAGGTGATTTTGAGGGATTTCATTGAATTATATTAATTTACGTATTACATTAACTGGTTAATGAAAATTTCATTCACACTTTTTTATTTATTATCTTCAGATAACTCGGAAACCTGTAAATCGGTTGACTTTTAACATTAATGTGTAACATTAAATGTAAGATTAAAGTTAAAGTTTAAAATGCCTAGAAAAGAAAAACCATTTTCAAATATAAAAAGGAAGGAATTTTCTTTTCTTTTATTATTAATATTTTCATTATAAAAAATAAAATTCATAAAAATTCACTAAAAAAATAATGATTTTAAAGAACCTAATTTCAATCCTTCTGCAAGAATGGTCTACTCTTGTAATTATTTTTATAGTTTTATATATAACAAAATATTATTATAATTATATGACTAGACAACCAGCTTTACCAGGTCCATTTCCGTTACCATTCGTTGGCAATTTATTTGAAAGAGATTTAAGTAATTTGGCCAAGAAATGTCATAAAAAATATGGAGATATTTTTGAATTATATATTGGTAATCAACGTACAATATGGTTGTGTAGAGCTGATTTAGTTGAGAAAATTTATACTCCATCAACAAACAGCAACTTCAAATTACGTAATAAAGACCAACAAGGACTGGATGAGATGGGTCTAACTCATGGTATAACCATGAATAATGATCTAGAATCTTGGTCATTTAATCGTAAATTTTTAGTGAATGCAAGTTTGTCACCAAAATTTTTAAAAAACTTCACGATTGATTTGGTCAAAGATAGCTATTTACAAGTGGAAAATTATTGGAATATAATAAATTCAGAATTTAAAAATAATAAAATGGTCACTGGTGGTGAAAGAAATGATGATACTTATCATATAAATTTATCTTCTTGGCTTTCAAGATTAAGTATGGATATCTCACTTAGAACAATGACTGGTAAAAAAGGTTACACATTAGAAAGTTATTTTAATGAATTGAGCAATAAAATCAACAACGAAAATTCATCAACTACAACAACAACTACTGGTCCGCCACAAGAAAATAAGAATATAGTAAAATTAATCCAGAAATATATTTTATCAATAGTTTTTTTTTATTTTGTACCAAAATTTATTAGATTGTACACACCAGTCAGGTTGATCCATAATCATTTAATGAATAATAATAATTATCTTAGAAAACACTTGATTGGAGTAATTAAAGAGAGAAGAAAAGAAATCGAAACAATGGATCACAATGATAAAATTCTTCAAAATGACATGCTAACTTGTCTAATAAATATAAATACTGAAAGAGATTTAGAAAGAAAGACCTTCAGTGAGGATGATGAACATTATAATGAATACACACGACCAATGACTGATAATGAAATTAGTGAGATTGTATTGGAAGTATTGGCTGCAAATCAAGATACTGTGAGTGATAAATCCTATTATATTTTTGAGGATTTAAAAGTAACATTTGAATTTCGCTAAACAAAATTTTTATTTTACAAAAAAATATGCAGACACCAACATCACTTTCATTTATAATTTATCATCTATGCAAATATCCAGAATATAAAGCTCGTTTAATTGATGAAATTTTGTCAATTTTTCCACCATATTCAACCAGCATAGATTCCATTAATTATGAAAATATCAAGAAATTGAAATTTCTTGATGCATTTATATATGAAGTCTCAAGAATAAGTCCGTCAGTACCATGCATTATGCGTACGTCAATGGTTGATGATACAATAAGTGGGTACAAATTTCCTGGGAATACATCATTCTATACTTATTTTAGTGCTATACACATGCATCCAAAACATTGGACAAACCCTGAAATGTTTAATCCAGATAGATTCTTGGATAATAATGGTGGAAGAGGGATTGAAAAAAACAGTTTCTTACAATTTGGTGGTGGTGTTAGAATTTGTCCTGGTCGACATTATGCTATGTTGTTCATCAAAATTTTCCTTGTAATGTTCTTTAGAAATGGAAATGACTTTGAGTTAGCATATCCTGATAAACCAATTAAAACTGAATATTCTTTTGCTTATAAAATTCTTGGTTTGATGATTAAGGTTAAAAAAAGAGATTTACAAAAAGAATTTTAAATTAGTTGATGTTATTTTATTATTCATGTTTTTTATTTGATGCCTTTTTTAGATTAAGAAACATGCGTAGCAATTAAGTTTTTTTTACAAGTGTTCTAGATACCAGCATTAATAATAATACCACTGATACAGTTAAAACGACGTGACATATTTTGAAATATTCAATTAAGGAATCTACGAACAAAAAGACATACTTAATGCAAAGGATAATAATATAATCTTTACAACGTTAAAGCAGTAATAGATATATGAGAAAAATAATGTGGATTTAGTCGAGTTTTTAAATCAAAATAGATAATAATGAATTCTCTAACACGCATATATAACATATAAAAATAATTTGTTTTCACGTCGTAAATTGTTTCCTAATGCAAATTAACACGTTGTACTTAATTACTTTATTGCTTTTTTTTTTTAATAAATATATATACATATAAAAATAGAAGCATTGCAACAAAAACTTTGCTAAATGATTAATCTTAAATAAATAAAAAAATATGGTAAAGAAACAAAAAAAAAACGGAAAAAGCAAAGTTATGTCTAAATTATCTTTATTTATGCTTAGGTGTGTGAGGAAAGATGCTTATGTACTTTGTATATAGCCATACCTTGTTTGGGATATAACCGAGGTTGAATTAATGCTGTGACCCGAAACTCTTAGCTTAGGGTTTGGATGGGTTTAGAGTAGTTTCTTACCCAAAACCGTTTATGGAAATCAAAGAGTTTAGGTTGACGCCACTGGGTGGGATTAGAGTGTCCAAAAGTGAAAAATATTCCCAATAAAAGGAATTTAGTTTTATTTTCACGTGACTCCTAACCAATAAAAAAAATTATGTAGATGGACACCCTAGGTAGAATATAGAATCTATTAATATAAAAAAGGAAATAAGAATAAGGTATAAAAATGTATGAAGGAAGTGTAAGTATTTGTGAAAAACAAAAGAAGGAATTCAAAGAAAAAAATTCGCAAATTTTATAAACAATATGTTTTAAATTACAGAGATGAAAAAACTGTAAACAGTCAAAGCTTTTATAGAAACCGATCATTGATCTTCCCATAACGAAACCAATATAGAAGACCTTATTACATTGGGTACTGAATAAAGTTGTTTTCCAATCCATAATAATGGTTGTTTTTGATAGAAAAATTCATCATCATTCATGGCTTCATCTAAATATTTGGAAACAAATTTCCTAGCCTTCTTCAATGCTTTGGGAATTTCCAAATTCTCAGGATAAAATTTACTAGAATAATTCAACAATCTAATACAATAACTTGTTTCTTCCAATGTTCCCATACCAATTTCCGAAGCAAATCCCCAACTTCCATCACTATGTTGAGCTTGTAGACACCAATTAACTGTTTTCAAACAATATTTAAGCAAGTTATCTTGATTTTTTAATATAGAATTCTCCAGAATTTCAGGATATGATGATAATGACAGTAATAGGTTGTTGGCTTTGAAGGTTGTGTATGATGGACTCGTATGCCATTTATCTGACCAAGTAGCTTTTTCACTTCTATTGGCTATAATTAATTGTATAACAGTGGACATAACTTGTTGAATTTTTATTTTTTTACCAGCTTCAGTTTTTGTTGGCATTGTAATAATGTAATCATCTTCATTGTTGAATTTACCTTTTGAATATATTGAAAATAGCAACCTTAATGCATGTACATTGGAACTTATGGAAATAGTTCTTTCGCCGGGATATGTCACAAAGTTCTTTCCATTATAAAATGTGGCACCTAATTTTTTCAAGTTGCATTCAGTTTCAGGAAGTATTTGGTCTAATGTCCAATGACATGTCACGGTGATATCAACATCTGGTGGAATCCTGCTCTCCCATGATGCCCATCTTATAGTATCCTTTTGTAAATTGACAACATGTCTTATAAATTCAGCAGTTAATTTAGTTTTTGTGAGTAAACTTTGAATCAATTTATTATCTGATGTCTCATTATTAATATTGTTGCCATCATTGTCATTGTTGTTATTGATGAATTTCATAACCTTTGAAACAAATTCAACCATAGATTGCATTATCCAAGCTGTTTCAAATATTCCAACATCACTAATAGTTGGAACATATCCAAGGCTCATGCCATCTGCTGGTGCTTTAGCAATAATTTTTTGTAAAAATTTATAGGCTTTTGAATCCCAATTTGGTGAATTGATAAGCACAGAAGCAGTTGCAGCAGCTGAAGATCCATAACTGCCATTTATTGCTTGGAAACCTTCATTTTGAATTTTGGTAAAATCTATTTTGTTGCCAAAGGCTTCAATTGAATGAATCATTGCTACTGGTTGACGTTTTGCTGCTAATGCAAATAATGCTTCAATAGGTATCAGGTTCATTTTTCTGGCATGCTCTTTAATTAATCTTTGCTTATCAGGGAATTGAAATACCACACTTGGTTTAAGTTTTTCTAATTCATTGAGCATATATGGAACTGTCAACTCAAAACCTACATAATCTATTTCATCAATATTCCATTGATTTAGACTAATTATTAAGCAAATGAATGAATTAATTAATTAATTAGTAAATAAAGAATAAATATGTGAGGAGGACTAAATATAGAATGCATACCTACTTGATTTTAAGAAAATTTACAGATTTTTCAAAACTTGAGTTGAATTGAGACAAAGTCAACCCTAAATCATTTAATTTTTCTTCTAGATAATCACCAGAACGGGAACGGAAAAGACCAAGGGCAAGTAGACCAGCAAGACAAGGTAAAACACTTTTTGTGCCTTTACCAGCCCAACTACCATTATCGTCTTGATGATAAAAAAACCATTTTAAGCATTGTGGGAAAGCCAATTCGAAATCTTTTGGTAAAATGGTAGACTTGTATTTTTCAGAAGGGACCATCGCCACCCAAGCAGTATCATATGGTGACATCGATATCTTCCCGTATCCAATCCATTCAGTATCATTGATATCATCCATTGTTCTTTTTGCTGGCTCTTCAGGTGTCTCATAAAAATTTGGCCAAATCGAATTAGCATGATTATTTAAAATTCCTTCAGCATAATCTATTAGTTTTAGTTGTTGTTTTTTTGCTTCCTGTTCTTCTCTTAATAAATCATCAACACTTTTATTGCTGTTAATAATTCTAACTTTGTTTGAACAATTTTTTATTTTTGAATGTTTTTTTAATTTAATGTTGACGAAAAACGTTTTAATAGTTTTATTCGTCTTCGAAAAAGGCGAAGGTGGTAGTGGTGGTGAAGGTGGTGAAGGTGAAGTTGATTTTTCGATCTTTCTTTTGACTTTATCATAAATAATTTTATGCATTTGGGGGGTTAAATCAATTGTCTAAAACCTAAAATATTTGTCTAATTTTTTTTTATTCTAAATTTTTAATTATCTAAATTTTTTTTAAATATATATATAGTAAATATAATAAAATAATTTACAAGAAAAAAAAATTTTTTTTAGAAAATAAATTTCTTGAAATGTTATGTTATTTATGATGATAAAAATTATAGTAAATGAATTATTTCATTAAGTCATTTGAATTAGTATTTTATTGTTGTTTATTTTTTTTAATTCTCGATTCATGATCATCGAATTAGAACCAGTAGTTGCAAGAGAAATAAAATTTTGGAAGCACAAATATGCTATATCATGAATTACGTAAAAAAAAATTTTTTTTTTTTTGTCCCAAACTTTATTATTTTGTTTATTATTTATCGTCAATTAAAATTAAATTAAATTAATAGTTAATTAATAAATAGGCGACGGATAAAGAAATGGCTGAAGGAAAGAAAATGAATGAGAGAAGAATGGCATCACAAAAGATAACTGGTCGATGAATTAACTAATTAAGACTGTTATAAATATAAATCAAAAAACGTTTTTAATTAAAAACGACGATATAAATTGCGTTACATTAAATCCGATCTGCACGCATTATTATTATGCATATTTGTATGCGGAGTGTTAGTTAGCATGTATTAAAGTATTAAAGTTCTGTGTGTACAACATTTAGAATATATGACTCGAAATAAAATATAATTAACACTGAGATCTGGGAAAACTCCTGCTAATTCTCGAACCAGAAAATTAAGAATTAAAAAATTATTAAAATAGATTACACAATCAATTAATATTAATGATTGGTTTTATTAAGGTTAAGTCATGTGAGAGTACCTACGGAAATTATCCAATCCCATACTAACTTTCAATATTTTTAATATTAATCAACTCTATTATTATTATTTATACAGTCAAACCTCGTTATAATGGACCTCGTTATAACGGATTTTTGTTATACCGAACAAAATCTTATCCCTATTTTTTTTTTATTAAATAAAAAATTTCGTTATAACGAATTTATAGAATAAACCTCGTTATTCCGTATAACGGACATTTATTGAAAATTTTTATATATAGTGCAGGACACCTAGTCCCTATAACTTTTATTAGTCTTGCAAATCCTTTAACTCCTCCAAAAATGGAAATGTGTGACCAAAAAAACAAGATGACATTTTGAAGCTAAGACCTT